ATATGTTTGCACATGTGTACATTCTGTGTGTCAAAAAAAGTTTGAAACTCATGAACACAGACAATAGTGTGGTGAAGGCCCGAGGGAGCAGAGAGGGGGCAATGGGGGGAAAAAGAGGACAACTGTAAACAATAAAGATAAATTTTTTTAAAAGTTTGAAAACTTCAGACTCCTTCAACGACTGAATTATAGCATGTATTTCAACTGAGCCCTTGGAGGAGAAATCAGGTTGCAGAATTGAAGTACTTGTTGGTCATCACTATAACAGTGTAGCCAGCACGATGTAGCAGGCATCCATCTTGACAGTTTAAAACTATCCTAAGTATAACTTCTACCCACCAAGCAGTAATCAACATTGTATGTGTGAAACAAAATGTACACTTCTCAGGCCCTCCATTGCCTGGAAGAACTGACTGTCAAAATCCTGACTACTTCTGTTATTGAATGTGATAATGCTAGAAAAATAATGTTGATAAAGAATTCTCCATGCAGTCAATCTTTATTATAGCAGTATTCGCATATTCACATCAAGTACATAGAACTTTTTTTGCCTTTTATATAATACAGAGTTTTTAAATAACTTTACACAGAAATAAATTTCTTCAATCTGAGTTTCAGCTATCTTTATTTAATTCTTCATGCTTTCTATCCAAACTGAACAATATTTTCCATTGTACAAATTTACATGAGAAAAATTCCAAAGTACAAATGAAGGGACCTGAGCAGGAAAGAGAACCAAAGTATCAAGAAGTGGGGTTGGGGAAGAATTGGAAAAAAAAAAAAGATTCAAGCACTGAGGACTAAGGGGCAAGAGGGAGACGACATCCATTTGACTGAAAATAAATGTATTTTTTTATGAATTGAAAAATAAGTTTTAAAAATAGTTACTCCATAATTTTTGCAAAGCAGGTATAGAGAGGTCTGTGGACAATTAAAAAGTCCCCATCTTTCCAGACTCCATGAGAACCTTCTCAGTGTTTGGAACTGAAGTGCACTAAACCTGAACCTTTGGCAGCGAGAGAGGAATGTGTATGAGAACTGCCACACGGTTTGGAGTAGTAAACCTGGAGCCATTTCCTCGGTTAAAACATGAAGGATTTGCCTTTCTTCTCCTGTATAGAAGAATTGTCCTCAAACCAAGAAGGTAAATGAAAAGGGGGGTGATGTCCTTTTTCTTGGTCTAAACTAAAGAGCAATCATAAGTACTGTATAGAATCAAAGGAACATGTTGGTAAATGGTCAAATTCAACCCCCTGACCAGTTGTATGCTCCTATTTTAGAAGCAGAAATTGCTGAGTGAGGAAAGGTTCAGTGTGTACAACCAACAAAAGATCACCACACAAACAGATCACTGTCATAGTCCTTCCAATCGGGTGACATCACGAAGGCCAAACAGACTAGTGTGTAGCATGGCCAAAGGAAACAGGACCCAACAAATGCATTTTCAAATGGAGGGAAAAGGGCACAGCATAACACAACCCCCCCGTATGTAAACTAATGTAACATGAAGATACACAAACATAAAGGTTAGCCACTTATGTTGGTAATTAATGTGAATAAAAAGGCATTATGTTTTCATAGCTGGTTTTAATCAGCTATGTCCGGAACACACACAAATGTATAAGGAAGGAATGATTTAAAACAAAACCGTTCACAGCTTAGAAAAGCACACTTATTGCACTCTTACATTTTATTTCAGATAATTATGGTTTATTTCCCACCCTCACATCAATTTTTCCCTACCCTCAGAGTTACTCCCACACCCTCCCCTGTCCTATTTGGTCCATTTTCTCTTATTTGTGCCTAGTCTGTGAGCTTTGTTGCTTATGCTAGTTTGAAGTTTCCTCCGATGTATCTCCTACTCCACCAAAGCACACCCGGGTTAAAAAAGCTTAATACACAAATGCAACACAGTAATTTTCAAAAGAAAACCAGTACTAAGCAACTTACTCATAATCCCCATCTGCACCTCTGTAACCAGAACCCTTCCTCTGCCACATCTCCTAAGTGAAACCCATGCCCGGTTCCCAGACAGATACTGTGCTGAGAACCAGCCACTTGTGGGTGCTGGACAACCCACCCAGCCTGCCAGGAGATGCGGATGGTTTGCACAAATCCTTTTTCACTTTTTTATACTTAACAGGAATAAATATATTTCAGTTCTTTGTTCTTAAAGAGTATATCAATCTTTAGAATTCTTTCAAAAAATGCATCACAAAATAACAGATACACTGGCTGTGTACTCATGCACAACTGGTAATACCATTGTAATTAGTCAAAACAGCTAAATAAAATTAAACATTTTAATAAAACTGACTTAATAACTAATAAGACTAAATCAACAGTTGAAGTTGTGATGCTAAAAGGTCTACTTAAACATTTTTTGAGGTGGGGACTAACTGTCCCTATGCATTTTAAAATAAAGCCCTGTGACCTTAATTTAAGAATTTAGGAATTAAGTTTTTGTCCTTTTCTATCTTAAAAATACCCAACAGAAACTGTTAACTACCCATTCTACAACTGAGAAAAATTAGGACTGAATTTCAATGTAAATATCTTTGCCAAACAGAAGTAAAAATAAGTTATCTGAAAACAAAACAAAGTTTAGCTTACTGCCTAGTGTACTGATATCACAAAAATCTTACCAGCGTTTTCGATTTTACCAGAGCTAGCAACATGGACCATGAATACACTGGCCACGTCATTCTCCGGTGGCCAATATACACATCAGGCAGCGATGCTACCGTACTCTTCGGGTGCTCAGTGACCTGTGGGTGTAGTAACACCCCTCAGTGAACACCTTGAGAACGCGCTGTGACAGTACACTGCCTTTCTTGGGGCGGTGAGGAATGAAGATACAAGAAGCATACCACGGAGTGTGTCCAGTGCACAGTAACTATTCCAATGCTTCCTCATGAAGGAGGCCCCGACACCTCACAGCACCCCCAACAGGATTAGCAGCACAGTCCTGCTTAATTTGCCAACCAGTCCTGGAAGGCAACTGTAATGTTTCAAACTCTGAAAAATCCATGTCTAGGTTGGCAGCAGTACTCTGGAGACTGATAAAATCTAATTCTGCCCCATATTTTAATTTCTTTCCCCCTTCTAAGTTAACACACTCAACTGCTGCCCAGCATACAGTACTTCAACCTTGAACTACACAATTTCTTAAAATGTCTGTCAAATATTTCTGTTATATAAAAATTCCATGCTTTGAGAACCTATGGGAGTAGAAAAAGTTTCTCTAGAAATGTCACTGAACTATAATTTCAACCTATTTGCTCTATATGATAAATATATCTGACTATACTAGGGGTTATGTGCTTTAAAAAAATAATTTTGTTCACTGAAAATTTACCTGTGTTTTCATTTTTTAAATGTGATTTGGCTATAAACTCTTTAGTGCATTTATCTTTGCAGTCTAAATTGCACTCTAAAAAATATTAACACAGCTGAGTTAGACCAGAGTGGCTGCTCTCTTCACAAATCACTGATTTCTGCTAAAATTTTAGCTTTTTTTTTTATTGCATCATGAAGGCACAGTAAGATCATTTGGCAAATTGTCAAGGTATTTTTCTACAGCCTCACCTACACCATTTCAATGTCTGATCTATAAGCTATTTCGTGTTCACACTCAGTAAACCCTCCATGTCTGGCTATGTGTGTATTTTTAAATAGCCTAATAGTTGGAATCTGCTGGTCTCCAGGTGCTGCTATTCTAGCACTAACAATGCCAACTTGGACAAAGAAGAGAATCTTGCAAAATGGGTAATCACTTTCTCCCCCCTTAGCTGGGCAGTCGGTCGGAGTATCTGCACATGTGACAAGGCTGTGGCTAACTCATTATGAAGGTGCACTGTCCTGCCAAGCCCACTGACAATTAAAATTATATCATTGTTAGTGAAGTGATACCGTAACTATTTAATTTCATGCAACTGACTTAAGGTTGATATTCTGAAACGTACCCCTAAACAGGTTCTGGCACCATTTGCAACAACATTCAGACACTCTGCTACATTTTTCAGTATTACTGCCTAAATGTATAATGCCCTTCAGGACAAAATGAGAGCGTTCAAATACAAGCACACATAAAAGTTAAAATCCTAAATCATCTTCATGTTCTAGAGCTCCTGACTTCATATTTTAAATAAATATTCATTACCTCATTCTGAGGAGGTAGTTTTTTGAAGAGGTCACCTGAACTCTGTAGTATGTTTCAAACTAAAGCTAGATGAGGTTTGCCCGAGGCAGAGGGTGAATGTACGGGGGGGGCGGTGAGGCTGAGGAGGGGTGTGCAGCAGTGCCAACGTTGCCTGATGAACAAGTGATAACATTATGTGATTAAGAGCTGTGACCATATCCCATGAGAATCTAGGAAATATTTAGTTTCAGGTGGACAGTGGTGAAGTCCTGAATTATCTCTTTATAACTAATCTCTTTCTTCTCCAACACCAACATGAATATAACACATATACTTCATATATGTGATTTTATCTTCGACGATGTCCCAGTACATCCTATAGATCTCACATACAATCAGGGACTGCACGTCCAGGAACCAGATTTTGACAGCTAGACAGAGCCTTCTTTTAAGGTGCACACAAGTACAAAGAATCACACTGGATTTTTCTATTCACAAATCCCTTTTATAAACTACTTTTTGGTCAATATTATTTCAGTGGCAAAAATCTACACCCTAGACCAGTGATGGCGAACCTTTTGAGCTTGGTGTGCCAGCATTTCGAAAAACCCTAACTTAACTCTGGTGCCGTGTCACATATAGAAATTTTTTGATATTTGCAACCATAGTAAAACAAAGACTTATATTTTTGATAGTTATTTTATATATTTAAATGCCATTTAACAAAGAAAAATCAACCAAAAAAATGAGTTCGCGTGTCACCTCTGACACGCGTGTCATAGGTTCGCCATCACTGCCCTAGACTGTAGTTTAATGATAAAGTCCATCAGCTAGGAAAAAACAAAACAATACAATTCCATCAGGATTAAAACAATCTTTTATGGTTACTCTCAAATTTTTCAGGCTTCACCTCTCCTTACCCAAAATAAAAGGCCCCACGGAAGGCACTGCAGCCACTTTACGGAAAAGACAGATAGTTACCGCCTTGGGAAATAATCAGTGAAGCAGCCACATGTTATCCATTCAATTACTCATAAAGTGCTTTGCACGTCAAGGAGTTCTTCCTTGTATTTCTTAGGAGCTCAGCAAGTCTATCTGTAGTTAACCATCGGACAGTAAAGAAAGTGAAACTCAGAGGGAAACCCCTTTTTCATGTCAATTGTAAACTAGAGAAAAAACAACTTGATGGAAAAAAGGAAAAGGGAAATTTTCAAATTTTATTTTGTAAGGGCTCTATAAAAATTTCTCAATAATACCACGAGTCTGGCTTCTGGGCACAGATTTGAGATAGAGTCTGTTTCTCCTTTTCAAATGAGATAGCTACCTTTTCTAAAAAGAAAGAGAAGAAAAAAGTGTATCACCTTGAACAGTGTTTGGAAAACCCCAATGCCAAGCTTCTTCCAGAACTAGGTCCTGTGCTGCTCCAGCCATCCAGACAGTCCCGCACCTGAGCCTCTAGCAGCTCTACCTGCTCAGCAGACATGCCTATAGTTTAAGACCAGCTCTCTGCAATCTTGGTACAGGGAACACAAGCATGTTTAAAAGCATCCATGGCAGCATATTTAGAAAAAAAAAAAAATAGACAATGCTTTTAAAAGAGGCAGCATTATACATACAAGATGCTCTTCAAATGAGCATGAACCATTTTACATCTTTGTAATTTCTGAATTTTGTTAAGATACTGCTCTGCTCATGTAAGACTTAAGAACACACTGCTTTTCAAATTCACTAATAGCTTCAGTATACTGTCCATTCTACTGGGACAACCTTTTACACGTCCGTGGAATTTTCCTGTGAATACAGGTATTTTAGCAAAAATCTAATGGCAGTGAGTGTTAATAGGCTGAAAGATAGCAGGGTGAGTTACAATTTGAAATTTTAAAATAACAATTTCTAATTCCCTGCTTTATTTTATAGTCCTATCCAATTTCTCTCAGATCCTTGGCTACCTAGTTTGGTTGGGCTAAGTACATTTGATTTGATTTACATTCCCAAATCCAGTAAGAGATTCTAGATCCATGATAAGGGAGGTATTTGCCATTAATATGTCCAGAGTCACTTTCTTTGCTACTACCGTGACTTACACCACTCTTTAGTAAATGCCAAAGGAAGCTATGGCTAGGTTATATTTTCCGTTTATATAAAGATAAGGAATGAGGTTCTTAATATCACAGCAGCTCTTTCTGTAAAAACAATTAACGTTAGGCTTCACACATACTCTCTCAGTCCCAATACACCTAAAATTGCTCTATTATCTGCTTGGGGAACTCAGCTGCCAAATTACCCAACCTTTTGAAGACCAGGCTTGGGAAAAAAGGAAAAAGAAGAATGAATGGAGACACCACCATTTTTATTTTAGGTTGTATATTCTAGGTAAGAGAAAATGAGGATGTAGTGTAAGAGTAAACTGGAAGAAACAATGAGATATTAGCAAAGATGTTAGTGTGGATCCAGCAAGTACCATTAATTTAAAAATTATAAATATCTGTCATATGCTAAGACTCCCCATGTTTAGGTAGAGGAAGGATAATGATTTTTCTTTAAAAGTTGTTTATATAACAAAAATACAATTTTTCAGGATATATAATTCTAATGGGAAGTGTTGTTTTATTCCAATTCAATTAAATCTGAAAATTATTTTAATAAAAATATAATAGAAGAAACTCAGAAATTAAAACTTGTACCTTACATTTAAATTACATAAATGTCTCACATTCAAAACTGTTATCAAGCAGTTCTGTAGGCTTTTAACTAAATACCACCATGGCATTTTTGTGCCTTGGGCAAAGTAGCCACATAAGTACTTGGTGACTGGAAGAGCTTAGGAGGAAGATTTTCCTGAGAACTTGCTATATTGTGGAGGGAAAAAACCCCAGACACCTCTCTTCATTGCTGGACCCAATGAACAAAGAAGGCAATGTGTGCCAGCACTTTCCAGCCTGCGTGGGTAGGCAGACACCCTCAGTGAGCAAGGAAACAGAAGGCCAGAAACCCAGGAGGTCAGGAAAAAGATGCAGCATTCCCTTTTCCTCTGCACCAAAACGTAGCTCTGTCTCCCTCTCATCCTCCACTTAAATAAAATAGCTTCATTTTGATAAAAATGAGTCAAGGACTGAACGTGCACCACACAGGTAGGGCATGCTGCATTTTTGTTCCATCCCTCAGAAATTAACCAGTGGTGGCTAGGGGAAAGAGCTCCACAACAGACTCCCAGAACAGGAAAGAGAACGATGCTTGGTGATTGCAACTGCCCCATCAGATGATCAGCCACACATTGATCTGGTGGTTAGAAGGGCACAGTCGACCGGCAGACTCCAGAGCCAATCTCCCAAGCTGTAGCAGCAGTGTCTTTCCATCATGCCTGACCATCAAAAGGCCAGAACTCAGGGTCTCTCGTCTTCCTGGGACTGGGCAGACTTGTATGCACGTGGTGTTTGTGTTGAAGAAGAAACACTGGCAGCAGAGAATTCTGGTTCCTAAAACATTCTTCCCTCTTTTCTTGGATGGGAATTTCCATTCTGTTCCACATCAGCTTATGAATTGAAAATTTCATTTCTTTAAAAAAGGATCTGAGGAACAGAACTGTGTTTGATGTTAACAAACTGTACGAACACAAGACTTAAGAAATAAGAGTAGATGCTGCCATGATGGTGTGGCTACTTGAAGGCTGCAAATTCTCCTGTAGAGGGAGGACAAGAGCTAATTTTAAAACAGTTACCTTAATTAACCTAGGTTTCTTAATTAACCTAGACACAGAGAAAAGCCTCACTGAAACCTCAATGAAAGGTGACTAGCTGTCTATTACAAATCTAGCAACATCATCATTAATTTAAAAAGCAAAAATGGTTGAAACCCATGAAAGAAGACAACTTGCATAGTACATAGACTATGGTTCAATTACATCAATTAATCAGTTAACTGCCATGCGTCCAAAACGGAAACCATTCCACACACCACAATAATTTGAATTAAAAAAATCAATTTGCAATGAATATTCTAAAAATAAGTGTATTACAATTCGGGTGTTCTTGAATATTTTCAGCTGAAAATTCTCATGAAAAATAATTTTTAAAGTTGGTCAGGGCTGCTACTTAGGGAAAACATTTTTTTTATAGACGCACGTGGCCTGTGGGGAAGGTCCGCCACTTGCTTCTATTGACGCTTATGGTGTACAATGGGTTAAATATCATGTCTGCAGATAATTTCCTAGTTGGATTTTACATGCTATGGTTCTAATCAAGCTGAAAACAGTTCCAATGAACAATATATCTCAGAAATGGATTGTAAAATAGTAGGGTTGGTTTGCCCCTAAATTATCAACTCATTTCCATTATAATGCCACTATTAGAAAGGAAGAAGCAAAAATTATCCTCATTTGCAAAAGATAAAATTAAGAGGTCAAATGATTTGTCCACATTACATATCTGACAGCAGGAAAGAAAGCCCGACCCTCATCTTCTAGTTCATTTCACCTTTTAAACTACCAATAAATTACACATAGGCACATGTCACTGGACATCATTCTCAGCATAAGAATTCTTGAAACCACGATGTCTGTTTGAGGTACGACACTCCTTTAGCTTACTAAATTTGGGGGCTTCATAGAAGGGCCATTATTCACCTACCACTTTGTTCACAGCTTCTACTTATAAGTAGAGGTTGGTTCCTCTTATTATATACACTACTAGAGGCCTTTTGCACAAAATTCGTGTACTGGGGGGTGGGGGGGGCGTCCCTCAGCCTGGCCTGCACTCTTGCACAATCCGGTAGCCCTCGGGGGGATGTTCGACTGACAGTTCCCATGGGGAGTGGGCCTAAGCTGGCAGTCAGACATCCTTAGTGCTTCCCAGGAGGCAGGAGAGGCCCCCGCCACTGCCTCTGTACTCATCAGCCATGAGCCAGGCTTCTGGCTGAGCAGCACTCCCCCTGCGGGAGCACACTGACCACAAGGGGGCAGCTCCTGTGTTGAGAGTCTGCCCCGGTGGTCAGTGCACATCATAGCGAGTAGTTGAGCTGCCTTAGTATGTCATTAGCATATTACACTTTGATTGAACGGCCAACTGGATGACCAGACAGCATACTAGGCTTTTATTATATAGGATAGTTAATTTCTGGGGGTTGGTTAATAACTGAGAACTATCAGAATTTAGTCAGCCTTAACATCATTTTTCAGTAATAGCAGCTTCTGAGGAGGATTCACTTATATACTATAAGTGAATAGTGTATTCACTTATATGAATACACTGTTTAATCCAAAAGTAACCTACTCATTTTCTGATTGCTATTAGATTCTGCTTACTAGAGAATACTGGCATATTCCAACAACCAACAGATTGCCAATGGCTGACTGAACCCTGAGATTGTATGTTGTTAATATTAGCAATTAGTTGAGTGCCTGTTATATATCAGTGAGGTCACTGAATACCTTATATATGTTTGCATCTGATCCTCCTAATAACTCTACAAGGCAGGTGCTATTACTTCTCTTCATTTTACAAAGGAACAAGCTGCGGTTTACAGTGATTAAGTAACTTGCCCAGGATCTCACAGCTAGAAAATGGCAGAGTTGGAATGCAAAGCCAGGTGCTGACTCCAAAGTCCAGGGTCTTAACAATTAACAAGCCCCTAAACAATTTTCAATAATTAATAATTTGTTTTCCCATTTTGAATACAGTTACTAACTGGGCTGCAGACAGTGATACTATTTCTTTCCATCTAAAGATTTATTTTAACAAACAATCAGCCAAGGTACTGTGAGTCAAAAGATCAAGGAAGAGTAAAAGAATTATTACTTCATAGTTAAATTTAAAAGGAATAGAAAGTTAGGCACTGATTAAAAAAATAGCCAAAGTACTAAGACCTTGGAGAGTAAAACATTTAGAGCATAACCATAGGAGGATATTATGTTAATAGAGACTCAAGAAATATATAAACATTCTCATTATGGTTTGAGTACCTTATAGTTTTAAGATTGCTTTTTTTTCCAGTATTTTAACACATTTCTTAAAAGCAATTTTCAACATTCTTATGAGTAGTCACTGTAGGAAGCCAATGTAAAAACAAGATTTACTTAACAGAAAATCTTCATAAAAATGCTAGAATTAATCTATTAAGTGAGAATATCAGAAAATGACAACTTTATGCCAAATCCTAGATATTATATTAAAATATAACCTGGAAAAAATCTTCAATGTTTCTTATTCATTATTATAATCAGACACTCCATTTTGTTGAATAGTGTTCTACTCCATAAACTTGAACATTAGCCTTAAAAATAAAAATATCCAAAACACCCCAAACGTACAAACTCTTACCAACATAGTGGAAATAGAATAGCAGTAAGACGACCACTACTGATCATCCCAACCGAGTCACTGCTTTTAATGGAATGTAATTCTTTTCATGCTCGGGCTTCAGCTCGAGAAAAAGATAAGCACAAAAAGAACTTCGAGTTTAGGGATCAATAAACTCTTTCTATATATGTCCCTGAAATCACGGAGAAATTTAAGAAAAAGATGAGGGTAACAGGTGATGGATCTGTTTTGGGAAAAAAAAAATCTTTTCTTACTTAGTCTTTCCTGCATTACCTGGCAATCTCTATTATTATCCCATCTCATGACTTATTTTATTTGAAATAAGAATACACTCTGCTTGTCTGAAGTTATTTGAAGTGAAATATCCAGATACTCTGATTAAAAAAAAAATCTCAGTATATTATTAACTGAAAAATCAATCAGAGGCCAAAATAAAGCTTAAAACAAACAAACACCTCCTTTCTGGATGAGAAGCAGCTAAGCTCTATTTTCCATTCAACTTTATTAGGGATAGGGCAGAGAACAATTGGGAAGACCCTGTGATTTTAGACACTTCAAATATCATGGTTTATTTGAAAACTAAGAATTTTATTAACTAGTTTTAAGCTATTATTAAATCACTACATTTTATTCCAGAATTGAATGCATTTTTCAGTGGCTGTTATACATATAGTTTTATAAAAATTCCCCTTAAAGAGAAAATATGCTATGAAGCCCTAACCGGTTTGGCTCAGTGGATAGAGCGTCAGCCTGCGGACTGAAAAGTCCCAGGTTCGATTCCGGCCAAGGGCATGTACCTTGGTTGCGGGCACATCCCCAGTAGGAGGTGTGCAAGAGGCAGCTGATCGATGTTTCTCTCTCATCGATGTTTCTAACTCTCTATCCTCTCTCCCTTCCTCTCTGTAAAAAATCAATAAAATATATAAAAATAAAATAAGAATCTAAAATTTAAAAAAAAGAAAATATGCTATGAAAAACCTAATAATGTTATTTTGTACACAAATCAATCACTGCTTCAGATAGAGGGGGGCAGTCATTATCACCAGAATAAGCCCCACTCTTTCTTTGTGGTGACCTTTCAAGGCAGTTTCAAAAAAATGAGGAACATTCTGGCATAGAGACACTGAAGTGCCATAGAAATGCTCAATAATTCTCAATTAAATAAGCCTATGATTGGCGAAATGCTTTAGTCATGAAGTACCCATATTCATAATACTGTATTTAAAAAAAAGAAAGGCAGATCATTTCCTTAAATTGAGAGTGGCCACCTTGAGAGAAAGGCCACGTAAGCTGGTGTGTTAAATAGTTACTATTTAGAGAGGATGATTTTAGCTACTGACTTGGTATTTAAATGGCTAGTACCATATTGTAATATCAGAAAATAAAACTGAAACAGTTGATTAGATGCTATGATACCTAAACTACTTAAAATCAAGAAGACAAATCTCATTCCTCATCATTGACTAGTAAAACTTCTAAAATGTGAAACAAATTTTATGAAAAGGCTGCCTCCTGAAGAAGGAAACCAACGTTAATGAAAACATCTGAGGTCCTGGATTTTAGGGAAGAAGTCAGTTACAAGAGAATGAATGTCCTTTTGTTGTGATTAACTAGTTAAAGTGATTACCTTTACACAGGGTCAGGAAAATAATGTTTTTCTTTATTTGGAGACTATATCTAAAAACTTAGTATAAAACAAACAACAACAGAAATGTAAACTACCATATATCATTCTAATGCTTCCTATTTTTCCAGATCCATGTTATCTAAACATCTCACCTGCTATTTTTAATGTTCTTCCACTAACCTTCCCAGTGGGCCCCATTTGGAAAGAAGAGAGTTACTATGAGACCCTTTGAAGGCATGTTTCAATGTTTACGGGATAGCAGTTCTAGGAGCTTAGCATTGAATGCCCTCTGGCAAAGGAGACTGACAAAGGAGGAAAGGAGAGAATGCAGATGGTGGGGACTGTTCAGGTGGTTAATGTTAAGAGGAAAGAAGAGAGTGTACAAGGAAAGAAAGATAAAAGTGAAGCAAGTGCACTGGAGGATTACAGAAACAGCTCTATCAATAAAAAGACCCTTTGACTTTTGTGCCTCAAAATGCCCAAGTCTTTGAGCATTCCATACAGCAAGTCAACTTTGTTAAAACTGTTAGCTACTTGCTTGCTATTCCATTTGTGAATAAAACCCCACTTAATAGTTACTAATAACCGTATTTTTAGTGTCACTAGGACTTAGAAATCATGCACTTTGATGTTTTCCAACATGTTACATTATCCTGTCTTTCTTATTCTTTAAAATATGAGAAACTTCTTTTTCACTACTCTTGCCTAAACTAAAAACTGTGAATCAATTTCTAAAAACATGAATGACATTACTTATCTGAAGCTACCCAAATGAGGAGCAAAAGGTATGCCATACTTATCACTGAGTGGTTTTCCTGGATGAAATCTAACTTATGCAAATACAAAAAGTATTTGAAAAAGTTCTGGTACTTAAAAACTATGTTATTATTAATGTCTTTCCAATTTTCTTTACTGGCTTCAAAGAAGGATAGCATTTAGGCAGATGTTGTCTGTGTGCCTGAATAACTTTGAACTGTCAGCTATATTTAAAAATCAGTCCCTAGCCGGTTTGGCTCAGTGGATAGAGTGTCAGCCTTCAGACTGAAGGGTCCCAGGTTCGATTCCAGCCAAGGGCACATACCTGGGTTGTGGGCTCGATCCCCAGTGCAGGGCGTGCAGGAGGCAGCCGATCAATGATTCTCTCTCATCACTGATGTTTCTATCTCTCTCTCTGAAATCAATAAAGAAATATATTTCAAAAAATATTTTAAAAAAATAAAAAAATAAAAATCAGTACAAATTCTATTTGAATAAAGATGTATTGAAGAGGCTGGCGTTGGTCCCTAGGCTGACTCTGAAGCAGAGATGTCAATTTCTTTGGTAAGAGGACAGCAATGCTGCTTCCCAGTAAGATTATGGTTCACGGTGAGAATATACTGACTGCCACATTACAGTCATTGTCTACACAAGACAGTGCAAGCATGAGAAAGCGCTAACAACTACTTTGTACCATGGAACACACACAAAAAGAATGGCATTCTTTCATAATAAGTAGAATTGCTGGGCAAAGAATATAAGGAGCGCAAGAAGTTTATGAGACCCATGGATATGGTGACTGCTAAAACAGGCACCACAAGAAGTAAGATAATTTAAAGTAGCAATTAAAAAAAAAAATTCATTACCAGGTGTTTGGCAAACAAAGATATCTAAAAGAAAAACAAACCTAAGAGTTTTCACAGGATTCTGTGAAGCTTTTGGGGGGAGGAGGAGGCAGTGCATTTGTAAGGAAATTAGGCTTCTATGTAAGATATCCTTAATATATAAAGAAATATCTATAGAGAACTCCAACTTATAACATTTCCCCACTAAAGATGCAAAGTTAAACCATGTTACTCATGTTAAGCATGCCACTCCTAAGCAACAGCTATAGTTACCTGCACCCATAATTTATAAAAAGAAATTTGATTTAGTATATTGCTTTAAGGGAATAAAGGACATTCACACTTTCCAAATTGTAAGAAAAAGAAATAGTTACAGGAAAAAATATTAAGAATAAAAACAAACATTAATTTTTAGTGACTTCCTGAATGCGATCTGTCTGGTCTGCCTAACTTGACATAGGCTAACCTACCGTCAACCTCCCACCTGCACACACGTGCACAGGAGTGCTGTTGTTCTTGGGAAACCCTAACAGATGGGCAGTAGCTAATGACAAAAGGTGCATGGGAAAAGTTTAATTGAAGTTTAATAATTAGAATAACCAAGTAAACAAAACAAACTTGGAATAGGAAATAAAACATCTGGAAAAGGCTTTGCACATTTTTAGCAATGTCTGCATTTTAAATCCTTGCAAATTGAAAACCCAATACTAAGTGTGAATTTTAGATGGGGAAAAAATTACATCCAGTTTTTAAACACGTAAGTGTTCTTTGGCTTACCTTAAAAAAATTGTATTCAATTTAACAAATATATAAGCACACATATGTTCATTTTCCTTTGTGCCTACCCTCCTACACCCTCTCACACATTAATTTGTTTCAGTGGACAGGAAACGCACCATATCCCCCTGCCTGGATGGGTGTTTTTGGAGAAGCACAAGCATATAGACTAAAATCCTCTGTTTGGAAGCCAGCCCGATTCAAGGAGGGTTCTGATGCACTGCGGTGAATTTTTGGCAATGAGCGGGCCAACAGCTCAATAGAGGCGAGAATCTAAAAAAAAAAAAAAGAAAGAAAGAAAGAAAGAGGAATGAAAATCGAGGTGGTATTAATCTTCAAGACCCTCATCATACTTTACAGGAAAGCATCTAAAATCTAACATAGACATTCAACATATTTTAAGGTATAAAGAAACAAAAGAAACAAGTTATGACTTTTCAAGGCATACAGTGTGGTAATGTATGTACATAAACATGAGACATACATAAAGGGCTTAGTACAATGCCTGGTATATAATAAGTACAATGCCTGGTATATAATAAGTACTCAATAAAACTTTAGCAGCTATTATTATTACTATTGTTATATTCTGAGCTACCAAAAATCTTAATATATTTTTATTGATTTCAGAGGGGAAGAGAGAGATAGAAACATCAATGATGAGAGAGAATCATTGATCAGCTGCCTCCTCCACACCCCTTACTGGGGATTGAGCCTGCAACCCGGGCATGTGCCCTGACAGGGAATCAAACCTTTAACCTCCTGGTTCAAAGGTTGATGCTCAACCACTGAGCCACACAGACTGGGCCTAACTATTTAAAATTAAACTATAATCTGTATAATAGTTAGCATAAAGGTAAAGAAATAGCATTGTTATAATTTTTTTTTTTTAAATTACAAGCATATCTCCCTGGCTTGTTTGGCTCAGAGGATAGAGCATCGGCATGCAAAGGGCATGCAGGAGGCAGCCAATCAATGATTCTCTCTCATCACTGATGTTTCTATCTTTCTCCCTCTCCATTCTTCTCTGAAATCAATAAAAATATGTAAAAAAATTATAAGCATATCACACAAATAAAAATTCAAATAATATGGAAAAGTATAAATCTTACCTTCCAGGGATAACCACTGTTAAAGAGTCTATACTTTCTTCAGGACCTTTCTTATGCATAAACATGCACATATGTAAACAGAGCCCACCCTCACACTCACAGCATTTAAAGTAGTGTCACACATTTTCCTGTGTTGCTTGTTCCCTTATTGATATGCATGCCATCTGCAGAGCCTACCTTGACCTTTATGTCTTTACTTTTCCCTTTAACACTGCATAAACATTCTTGTACATATCTGAATACTTGTGGAAGCAGGTTCTGTAGTACAGGTTTTTACAAGTGGAATTATCAAAGCAAAGGGTATATGTAATTTAAGCTTATGGATTTTACCAAGTCCTTTCAAAAGTCCTAACCAATTTACATGCACTAACACTGTTAAACTTAAAAGGGAGGCTCTTCCCCCTTCCTAACACTGTGCCCCATGCTGGCTATTGCCAATTAAGGGCAAAAATAAAAAACAGATTTCACTATTGTATTACTCTGCATTTTAATGACTATCACTGAACTCTTATAGTCCTAAGTTCATTTACCATTTGTATTTCTTTTGTGAATTGTCAGTTCATATCCTCTGCTTATTTTCTGTTGATTATCTTTTATTTATTGAATACAGGCCTGTTGCACGAAGAGATTCGTGCAATAGGCCTTCCCTTCCCTTGGCTGTTGGCACTGGTTTGCCTCTGGCACCCGGGACTCAGGCCTTCGCTCTGGCCGGGCTCCGGCTGGAGCTGGCCCCGGAGCAGTCAGGCTTCACTGCTCCGCCCTGGGGCCGTCAGGCTTCGATAAGCTGCTTGGAGCCTGTGTATGCAAATTAACCGCCATCTTTGTTGGGTTAATTTGCATACTCTTCTGATTGGCTGGTTAGTGTAGCAAAGGTACGGTCAATTTACATGTTTGTCTATTATTAGGTAAGATTGAAGGAGCCTTTTGTATACTGTAAATATTTAATCTTTGTTATACATGTTATAATTATTTTTCTCTGTGTTTATCTTTCAATATTATTTTTACTATATAAAAGTTTAAAATCTTTTAATGGAGTCATACCTGCTAATCTCCTTTATAACTTCTGGATTTTGTCTCTTACTTAGGAAAGCCTTTCCTACTACCTCAAGGTTATAAAAATGATTTCATTTTTTATAGTTTTGTTTTTAACATGTAAATCTTTAGCTACTTGAAATTTATGTTTGTGTATAGTGTGAAAAGAGATCCTCTAATGAAAACTAAAAAATAGTACTTAAAAGGGGCTTCAATAATCTGGAAAATTCATGTATGCATTTCATTTTTTGATACCATGAAAAGAATGAAATGTTATTTATATTTAGGAATACAGACATCTTAATACTTTAAATACTTTTTTAAAAAGTGGGCCTAAGTATATAATTTGCATTATGAACGTATATCAACCATGTTAAATAGCAAACTCTAGCACTTGGGATGTGAAAAGAAGATGGTGTGGGGTCCTGCTGACACTGGCCAACAATATGGACTTTACTTTGATATTCTTAAAGCAGTGATTTTCTGGGTAAAAACACACACACACACACACACACAAACAACTCTTCCTCAAAAGAAGAGTAATTTAGAATTCCAATTTTTAAAACATGTGTCTATCCAGCCAACTAGTTAGCATCCCCTCCCTGCTCTGAGACGGCCCCTCAGAGATTTGATAAAACTATAAATTCCATCTTTAATTCTTGAGATGGGGATAAAAGATTCACTCATTCCTGTAACAGTGGCCTTTGTCTAAGAAACTCAGTTAAGGCTGGGTATTCAAAAGCATAAGTTTAAAAAGGACCAACTCGGTAATTATGGTAGCTGAGTAACTGTGGGAATCAGCACTTCTATTTGAAAACTGTATTTTGATTAATTGAGACACATTTATACAGTGTTGCCAGGAACTTCCTAAGCATCATAAAACACTGCCAGTGGGATGCTATGTTACAATATCTACTATAACTAACTTTCTAAGCTTATTCAGGTAATTAGTTCCAGTTTGTGAGGCTTATTGAAAGATCATTAACTTAAGGGCTTTAGCCTTACAGCATAAACAGGTAAAAAGCAATGGAAAATTTCCAAAAATCAGAGAAAGGCAGCCAGTGCTGACAGCTTGCCATTTCCTTTAGCCCCAGGTGGAAATGCCCCTCAAAAAGGCCTAGTACTAAAGGGAAGTTTGGAATCTGTTTATTTTAGCATAAAAAAAATTAAAGTAGCAATTCTCAAAGTGTGGTCTGTGGAAAAACGATTTTCATCATAAACTAAGATATTATTTGCCTGTTACTGTCATTGTTTTATTTATTTATTTTTATTTTTTACTTTTTCAAACATACTTTTCATTGATTTTTTACAGAGAGGAAGGGAGAGGGATAGAGAGCTAGAAACATCGATGAGAGAGAAACATCAATCAGCTGCCTCCTGCACACTCCCCACTGGGGATGTGCCCGCAACCAAGGTACATGCCCCAGACTGGAATCGAACCTGGGACCTTTGAGTCCGCAGACCGACACTCCATCCACTGAGCCAAACCGGTCAGGGCTGTTTTATTTTTTTTTTAATTAATCCTCACCTGAGGATATTTTTCTCATTGATTTTCAGAGAGAGTGGAAGGCAGGAAGGGAGGGGGGGAGGGGAGAAGAAAAGGAGAAAGAGAAAGAGAGAAAGAGAGAGGGGGAGGAGGAAACATCGATGTGAGAGACTCATCAACTGGCCGCCTCCTGTATCCAGGTACATGCCCCTTGACTGGGAATTGAATCCATGACCCTTCGTTGTGCGGGCCGGCGCGCTAACCCCTGAGTGATATCAGCCAGGCACTGTCATTATTTTACCCATGGTAAGAGGAGTTTTCAGAGGCTACATGATATAAGATATTGCATCATAATGAATGCAAACCAGAAAATCCAGCTGTCTTTTTTTTTTTTTTTTTTCAGATTTGCAAAAAATGTAAAACAATGTTACTCATTTTTTTTTTTTTTTTTGGTTTGGGAAAACATAATTACTTTTCATAAAAACATTATTTAGTCTGTAACAGTTTTTATTATGTTTAAATAAATTTGTAAGTATTTTAAAAACTTAGTTGAAAACATAGTTTTAAATTCTAAAATTGTAATTACTATATAGAAAAGCTCTTTGGGGGGGGGGGGGTCTTTAATAATTTTAAAGTGTGTAAAAGGGTTGTGAGACCAAAACATTTGAGAATGGTTAGACAAAAATCAAGTCTTTCTGAATAGTGTGACTAGGTTCCCAAGTTTTTAGGTGTGCCGCTGTTCAACCTTTATGAAATCATCTCTGTGTTTACTTATTTGGAGTCTGCACATAATCACATGGAATCCAAACCCATGAAATACAAACTATGTGCTGTAAAAAGTGCTTAAAAAATCTGCATTTGAATATTAGCATATTCTTTTAGGTAACAAAGTTTTTCTTACTTGGGGAAAGAGTGGTCTCTCATCTCTTTTCTTTTTTAGGCATTCTGCCATTAATCTCTTCATGGCTTTTGGACAGTTACTTCGTACCTTACTGAGATCTGGAGATAGATATCCTCGTCCCACCATAAAAATTATCTGGGAAGAAAAAATAGGCAAATCATAAAACTTGTAATTAGTTAAAAAAGGCATAAAGATTGAAAATTCAACAAGCTATGCACTTAAGACGTGTACTTTTCTGTATGCACATTACACTTCAATAAAAAATTTAATCAAATAATGCTAATACTCTGATGCCTACATATAACTGGGAGCCAATACTTCATGGGCTGCAAACTGAAATCTTCATGACTCCTAGACTACTGTTAAGATCCGCTAATTGCTCCCACGCTCCAGTTGCCTTATCCAATCTATTTTCCACTGGTAGATCATCATTCTAAAACACAGACCAGATTGTGCCTCTTTTCTACTTAAATAATTTACTGGGCATCATACTAAGCCCTTTATATACATGTACCAGGAACCAACAAAGTTAACTTTTTAGTTTTTACATCAGCATGTTAAACTCTTTTGGTGAGGAAACTCTAATGGGGCATTTATAGTTATATAAATCTGAGAATCAGAGACTTCTCCAGAAAGAACTAAAGTTCTGTTTAAAAAGTAAAAAGATTTGTCTTCTCTGGGTGCAGAGATTTGTAATTTTTCTAATTTCTTAATTTTCAGCTCTTTTGAAGGTGAACAGAGACAGATGTTAGGAGTCTTGTGACTTAGGGAGGAAAAGGGGTTTTACTCTTAGAGGAACTGGTCCAATAGGGGCAGACTAGAGGCTGAGGTAGAGAGCGCTTTGTTATAGGGCAGAGCTGATAATTTTAAGAAAGTCAAGTTTGATATCCTACTTTATGTTATTTCCCGTTTGGTGATGTAATAACCCTTGTTAACTATAAGCTGATTTGGCTAAGCACCACTAAAATGAAAGTATAAAGCTTATTCTTCTCCCACTTTACAAGTTACCTTTTACCAGTACGGAATTTCACTACGTGCACAGTGCTCCAGGGTGTAAAACTGCTGGGGTACCAAAGGGACACTTCCAAATACAGTGGGGCCTTGACTTACGAGTTTAATTCCTTCCAAGACCGAACTCATTAAGGAGCTCGTTAACTCAAATTACTCTATCAACTCAATGCAAAAAATCGGCCAAGAGACAGCTGGTATCTCAAAAAACTCGTTAGTCGGGACACTCGTAAGTCAAGGCCCCACTGTACTGGTGTCTAACTGTGCTCCAATGAATGGGTAAACATTCCCTTTACAAGGCAGTTGGTTTGCAATTCTTCGCTTTCAGTAAAATTAATTAAATTGTCAGCTGATTATTAAAATAACTATTAATGACAAGTTATTATGTAATTTTTGGTATGTTCAAGAAATGAATTCAAATAACTGAGTGGTATGGTGTATGGTAAAGAATAATCTTGCCCACGTAGAGGGCTGGCCTTTGCCTTTGGCTCCTGGGAGGTAATCCCTAGCCTCTTGTGCCTGATAAGAGTGTCTGTTTACCTGGGGCCCTGGGAGATGTCAGATAGTCTATGCTATGAATGTGATTCACAGAGGGGGCTTAGACTCATGTGGTATCAACTTGCCCTCTGAAAGCTATGGTCGGCCACAGCAGTGGTCAAGCATATCTACGTGACTAAGCCCTAGTAACAACTCTGAATCCCAAGGCTCGAGTGAGTTTCTCTGGTTGGCAATATTTCATGTGTGTTGTCACACATTGCTGCCAGGAGTAGTGTTGTCCACAATCCCATTGGGAGAGGACAACTGGAACCTCCACACGTGGAATTCTCCTAATGCTGCCCTATGTGCACTTTCCCTGGATGGATTTTTTTTTTTAAATATATTTTATTGATTTTTTACAGAGAGGAAGGGAGAGAGATAGAGAGTTAGAAACATTGATGAGAGAGAAACATCGATCAGCTGCCTCCTGCACATCTCCTACTGGGGATGTGCGCGCAACCCAGATACATGCCCTTGACCGGAATCGAACCTGGGACCCTTCAGTCCGCAGGCCGACGCTCTATCCACTGAGCCAAACCGGTTTCGGCTCCCTGGATGGATTTTAATTTGTTTCCTTTTCTTGCAATAAACTACCTGTGACAATTAACAACTTTCAGTGAGTTCTGTGAGACTTAATGAATTACTGAACCTGAAAGTGGTCTTGGGGACCACTGAACTCTGCATACATTATAATGAAACTCCTGATTTTCTTAGCTTCTTACTTATTTGAACAATATTTCTCAGTGCTTATTTCTTTAAAAATAAAACAAGTAAAAGGACTGATGCTAAGTCCAGCTCATTCTAGCAAAAGTCATATTTATCCACAGATACATAAATTTTAAAAAGCCTCATGTTGTTCATTAAGATACACATTTCCAATAAAATTTTACCTTCAATGTTTCTTAAATAATAAAAACGTATTTTCATCACTTATACATTAATAGTTATTAATAATGGAATAAGTCACAATTAAAAAATATTCAGAGCTGATAAAAATCATAGGAATATTTTTTAAATTCTAAATTTAAACAGTAATACAAGTAGTTCAAAGAGGAAAAAAAAGCCATGTAAAACTTCCAAAAATTAATGCAGAGTTTTTGTATTTTTTTAAACAAGTGATGGTAGGCATCAAATCAGCATGGCTTTTAGATTTTATTGGGCACTTTTAAAAGAAGGCTATAATGGCTTTCTTTTGAAATGTTAATATAATACACTGGCAATTACCTTCTTTGCAATTATTTAAACTTAAGAGAGAGTCTTTCTTGGATGTAATTCATGGATAGAAGATTCAAGTGGCACATACACTACTAAATCAGTGGCTTGGTTTGAAATCCTGGGACTGGTTATTTTCATTCTCAATCCACACTCAGCACTCCTGGCATCTCCACCTCTTCATTCACTCCTCTGTATACATCTGTTTATTGTCAGTATCACCCACCTGCACTGCCTCAACAGAACTGTAAACTCCACTGAGTGCTCAGCCTGTGTTTTATTCATCTCTGTATCCCTCTATATCCCAGTGCTTTGCATATAGTATCAAAAAAATTTTTATTGAAATAATTTTTGTGTTGATAAGACAATGGTACTTATTTCCCGTCTCTTGAGATCTTGCGCTTAGTACCTAGCCACCATGCTATGAGAATGTCCAAGTTTCCCATTAAAAAATCCTTACATAAAGACCCAGGTGGAGAATAACTGAGAACGCTGGCTGGGCTTCCACCTGACAGCTAGTGCCCCCTTGTCAGGTTTGTGAATGAGCCACTTTGGAAGCAGATTCTTTCTCATTGAATCTACCCCAGATAATACCATGTGAAACAGATAAACCTTCCTCACTGAGAGCAGCCCAAATTGCAGATGCATTAAGTTGCTTAAGCCACTATGTTTTGGGTGCTTTGTTATACAGCAATAATAACTGGAATTCACTGAAATAACAGATAAATGTAATGTTATTTTCTTCTAAGATGACATGGCACTTCTGCTCCAAGAAGAGAAAGCCCTGAAGGTAGACAGTTAATATATCTAGCTAAAGAGCACATTATACTAGTAAATCTCAACTTAGTAGAGAAGCTGTACTGAAAGAGGGAAGGATACAGTAATAAGAGAACAAACTGGAATCATACAGAGAAAAAAATGACAAAGTAATTTCTCAGATTTCAGCACTAGGGTAACTAAAGTAAAAGGTATGCTACTCTGCAAAGTAACATAGGGCTGGTCATCCCTTAAGGAGCTAAGAGACCTGTTTAAGGAAAGATCCTGATTTTTATTACTGGAAGGAATTCTTTAGTCAAATTTCTTATTTTTATAATTGGAAAACAAACAAACAAACAGATCTACACACAAAACATACACCTAGAGAGGTAATGTGACCAGGTTATGCATGTTGTGAATCCAGGGTCTGCTACTTTACCAGAGTCCTGCCTTGAATTTACTGCCATTAAAACTGCCACCTCTGACTATAGGGGTGAGAGCATGGGGGAATGGTTTCTGTTATATAGTAATGAAGCAACTTTCTCATCTTCCATGAAAAAGAACAATATTACTAGATTATCAAGCAAAAGTCAATCTGAGAGCCATGGAGATCAAAGTGTAAGAGAAGGAAAGAAAATCAATCAAAGGGATGGTGTGAGCAATGACTGTGGTTACACTTCATTGAGGATGACTAGAGAGTTAGCAACTCAGAGGGAGTTTCACAGAAAAGTGCCATTGGAAGAAAGCAGACTAGATGATAATGAAGAATGGTAATGGGAAGAATATATCACTCCTTTTTTTTCTTTTAACAGTTTTTGCATTTTTATTTTATTTTATTGGTTTTATAGAGAGAGGGAGAGGGAAAGAGGGAGAGAGAAACATCGTTTGGTCGCCTCCCTTATGCACCGCAACCAGGGATTGAACCACAACCTGGGTATGTGCCCTGAATTGAACCCGAAACCCTTCAGTGGATGGGACAATGCTTCAATCAACTGAGCCACACCGGCCAGGGTAGTATATGGTTCTTTTACCTCCATTTTCTTTATCAAATACTTAACCTGGTTTTAGACTGGCAAATTCCACAAGCCTCTAACTCAGCGGTTCTCAACCTGTGGGTCGCGACCCCTTTGGCGGTCGAACGACCCTTTCACAGGGGTCGCCTAAGACCATCCTGCATATCAGATATTTACATTACAATGCATAACAGTAGCAAAATTACAGTTATGAAGTAGCAACGAAAATAATTTTATGGTTGGGTCACAATATGAGGAACTGTATTTAAAGGGCCAGAAGGTTGAGAACCACTGCTCTAACTGTACTACCAGAAAGAGCTAACTAGTAAAGGCCTTACCCTTCTGTTGGTCACTCACTTATTTCTCTCAGGAAAGGAAGCCCTTGCCACATCACTTATTATACTCCCATGGAGGGCAAAGTGCATAAAATGCCAAGAACCCTGGGATGCTTTCATCCAGATTTTGGAGATAATAATACTTGTTTCCATAATATAATTTTATTGTTTTATTAAAATAAGTATATACACTGGCAAATGGATGTCATCTAAGTTCACAAATTTTTATTATTTGTAGTTATCTATGGTAAATCAACAAAAACTAAACTATAATTCCCACGTGATTCCTTTAGAGAAATACTTTGCATAGGAAAAGTGAACATGGCACAGGGATTATGCTATGTGGCTGAGGAAATGAGACTGTAAAAGGCAGAGCTCACAAAGCTTGCTAATTAGAGACTACAATCTTGCTACTCAGATTGCCATCATCATGTCTCAGGGATCTAGAATCTGTCACGAGTACAGTAAGTAATATGTTTCAGTTATATCCTTCAGCTAGTATTTTGGTCCATCCTGAATTTAAGTTTCATGCAGGCTTAAAATATCAGATCATCAGAAGCTAGGCCATAGATTTTTCTTAATACTCAAAGCTAAGTTTCAACATTCTAAAGATATGAAATAGTTAAAAAGACCAAACAGAAACTAAAAAATTAGTTTTGTGTTGACTTGGGTAGAAATATAGTCATTAAAAAAAATTTCAAAATATAGAATTAAGACTGCTATTGGGTAAGGGCCACACGGTAATTCAATGAGCACATACCAAGTACATGATAACTTAGATTACTTTTATGACATCACATTGATAGTGGAAGTTCTTAGTGAGAGAGCTACTCAGAGCTATCACCAAAAAAATTAGTTGAGCTCTTGACTAAAACACACACTATTTAATGAAGTAACACATCTATAATAATAAAAGCGTAATATGCTAATTAGACTTGACGTCCTTCCAGATGACCTTCCGGATGAAGCCGGGGCTGGGAGGGAAGCCTGGGTCCCAGGTGCCTGCCGGCAGCCAGGGAAAGGAAGGCCTACTCTTGCACGCATTTTGTGCATCAGGCCTCTAGTTTATGTATAAAACTATCATTTCACTAGGTTGGGAGGTTATGATGAAACGCATAAAATATCTGCACTTTTTAAAAACTCTTTGGTCTGTATCAGAATTCCCTGGGAAACTTGTTACAAATGCAGGTACTTGGACACCATCCCATTGAATCAGAGTCTGCTCCAGCATCTCCACTTTTTAAAACAAATTACTCAGGTGATTCTGATACAAACCACAGTATAAAGTATAATTATTATTCTTTTTTGTTGTTGTTAATCCCTACCCAAGAATATTTTTCCATTCATTTTTAGGAAGAGTGGAAGAGAGAGGGGAAGACAGAGAGAAACATCGATGTGAGAGAAACACATTGACTGGTTGCCTCCTGCATGAGCCCTGACCAGGGTGCAGGCCAGGGAGGAGCCTGCAACCAAGTTATGTGCCCTCTTAACTGGAATTGAGCCAAACCGGCTAGGGCATGTATGAATATCATTTAATCAGTTTATATGTCAACTATTGTTTTGTAATATATTAACAGTGTGCTGCAATCTATCCCTCTCTCTCTCTCTCCACCCCCCCCTCACACACACACACAAATACACACAAACTTACTTTTAAAATGCTGAGGTATACAAGGTAATTTCAGTAAAGACAATTCCTTTTCTTGGCCAGTGTTAAAAGCCTAGGTAAATTTAATATTACTGGGATAGAAAAGGCAAAGAGTTGCATACGGCTACATTAGTACATTTGGGAAGGTAAGGGACAGAGAACAGGTGCTTAGGAAGAGAGGAAGTAAAAATATTCCCTCTTACTAGAATTCCCATTATAGAAAAATGAAAGCATGATGTCACAGTTCTTCCATTTACCTAGTTTTAAAAATAAACAAAATGGAGAAACCTTAGTAATTTTAAGAATTTGATATAAAGAAGTTCATGGCTGAGTACCTGCTCAGGTAGCAGACTCTGTGATAGAGTGAAATAAAGGTATACAGCCCAGATGTTGTAGTAGCAGAGCTCATGTTCCTAACTGTGCCATGGTCAAGAAACATGAGGTACAGTCATTGTTGTGTTTCTAGTTTCAGAAGATCAGGAATTTCACTCCATTACACTTAATTAAGAGTGAAGCCCAGCTGGTGTGGCTCAGTGGTTGAGCATTGATCCATGAACCAAGAGGTCACGGTTTGATTCCAGGTCAGGACACATGCCCCAGTTGCAGGTTCGATCCCCAGTAGGGGGCGTGCAGGAGGCAGCCAATTGATAATTCTCTCTCATCAATTTTTCTCTCTTTCTCTCTCCCTCTTTCTCTCTCTGAAATCAATAAAAACATATTTTTAAAAAGTCTCTTTCTGTAATGTATTGACTTAAAAAAAAAAAGAATATTTCAAGGGAAGGCCTTACATGCTGCTATTACTATCACAAGTATTCAAAAGGTATCTAAACTGGTGACAAGGACCCAGAGGTCTATCCCTCATATGTATCCAGGACTTAACACTTCTTTTCTACAATGAATTGGAACTTGATGTAAATAGTAAAATAAACCCTAAGAGATGGTAAATATTTACCTGGTCCCTGTTGTTGATGTTTGAATAAGGTAACTGTCCAGTCATCAATTCATACAGAACAATCCCAAATGCATATACATCTGACTGAAAGCTATAAGGGTTTTTGTCTTGCATTCTGATTACTTCTGGTGCCTGTTAGAACATAAAAAGAAAAATATTCTTGTTTATTCTTTACTTCAACTGAATAAAGACTGAAAACCAAACTATTATGAATCCCAGAAAAAATGCTTTTAATCATTAAATAACCCACCGAATATGTAATTAATTCTCTTATTAAAGGTCAAAGAAATATAACTGATTAAGAAAGTAAAAATATACTCTGTAAACTCTAAAAGAGGCAGTGTTAGCTGAGATTCTATCTGTATTACTAATATTTTTATAATTTTAGCAGCTGCCCTCTTTGTACAAAAAATATCATCATTGCTATTTGAATTCTTCCCTTGACTTACCTACCAAGAATCAGTTCCTATTTCCCAATCATGATTCAGCAAATAAATACTATACCTGTGGTTGTAAGATGTTTGGGAGTAGCACAACCACTTTGGCAATTGCCTTAGAATTTAAGTTTTCCCATTGGTACAAATGATTCTCCTCATCTCAGGACACCTTAGACAATAATGGCAAAATTTCAAGACTGATAAACTCAAATCCCTTTCCCGCCTCCAAAAGTGGTATAAACATGCCAAAGATGTCTTATTAACAAAAGCAATAGGCAGCGGGTAGATTTAATAGAAGGTGGTATGAAGAATCTTTTCGCTGCTTGCTTCTTGGGCAAAGATATAGACCAAATCATATTTCCTACATACATTTTTGTACATTTCAGTCACTGTATTCTACAGGTAGATTTCTTATTGGCTACTTACTTGAAATACAACAAATGGTTGGTTAAATATTAGCTTTAAACAATTCTTTCACCTTGAATCTTCTGTATTGTTTCATTTGGAAGGAATCAAAGAAATTGAAGGGTATTAATAAAAACTCTGTGAAAAACCAAGACTAACTGTAAAAAGGCTGAAAGACCTGGGACAAGAGTCCTGGTCACTGGTCAGAGTAAGGCAAGTCAGACTATCTCACAAGGCAGGGAATAATGGCACTGAGCCTCACCTGGAAATCAGAATCACCTCGGCAGCCTTGAACCTCTCAAGGTCCAGACTGCATTCCTGCCCAATAACACAACATTAGAATCTGGTTAGTTTTTAAAGCTCCCCAGATATTTTTAATGCTCAACCAAAGTTGAGAACCACTGATGGAAGATGTGTGGGAGGGAGATCCTGATAAGAGTGAAAGGATGGGGGTGAAGGGGAGGTTGTATCTACTTGTTTTTGTCTTACACTTTACTGATATTACTTTTACAGTACAAAATAAACCACATACAACTGTGATGTAATGAACAATCCAGAAAACTAAGAGGCTGGTTATGATACAAACATAATTTTTAAAGCCAGAACACAATTTCTGTGAGGGACAGAATAATAAATCAATTGAAAAGTTGCCTTTAAAATTTAGTTTTACCTCACTGTTGTTGGTAGTTGACTTGATAAAAAGTTGTATGTCATCTATTTACAAGTTATGCATTATTAATCCTCAGTTAATTTTAGTGTTTTAATTTCCAAAACATTTTTTTACAAAGTTTTCTTTCTCTTCTAAGCTATAAATAAAACAAGGCTGAGAAGACTATTATAAATAATTCAGAGAATTATATAACCTTAGTTCTGACCAAACTCTTCTTTCCTAGCCTATGGATGTTCTAAATTTGTTTCTGAAGGCAATATCAACCCAGAAAGATTTATTCAACAATTAAATGTACTATTGGCTAATCTCTCATCTTAAAACTTAGTTTGGGGAAATAAAAGATGAACCCATCTATCCAGGTATCAACAAAAAAGAAACTATAACAAAATATAAAACTTCATGTATAATAATCCACTAAGGTCTTTGAATAAAGACAAACCCAAACACTTGACTGAGCCTCTCTCTCCCATACTAGTTTAAATAAATAGACCTCTAAAACGTGTATCAATTATTTCTTTATAATTTTAATGATTTTGCAATTTCTGTACTTAAAAATCTGTTGCCCCCCCCCCTTAGGATACACTGCCGTCTTTTTTAAAAGGTGTGTACCTTAAAGGTGCCTGAGATTTGCATTATAATTACTAATAGCCTCTTGTTTATAATTATGTATTAAAACAATTAAACACATATTAAAGAAAAATTCTTCTTAGCTCTAAATACCGAAACTTAGAAATAGAAATGGCTTTAGAAATCCACTAGTCCAACCCAACATTAAAGATGGAGACTTGGAGGCAGTTAAGGAAGGTGCAGGTAAGAGTCACACACAACATTACAGTACACACCTCCTAACTCTAAGTCCAATCCCCCTCCCACCTTGCAGCTTGCCCTAATCAGTTATTACAAGAAATCATAGCTCAATTTAACCCCAGGCTTATCTGGACTAATTCAGAATCCTACCTTGTAATTCCTTTCTTGGAGACTGATACAGAGAGTTCAAAGAATTTAGGCAAATGTGGCTTTGAAAGCCCTTTCTTTTCTGTTTCCAGTAGGGTGTCCCAAAGTGCACATTCTGTTATTAAAAATTGCACTAATAGTTTTGGGACACCCTGCATTCAGCTTAGAGCAGCAGTTCCCAAACTTTTTGGTCTCAGTACTCATTCAGTCTTGAAAATTACTGAGGCTCTAGCCAGTTTGGCTCAGTGGATAGAGCGTCGGCCAGCAGACTGAAGGGTCCCGGGTCCAATTCTGGTCAAGGGCACATACCTGGGTTGTGGGCTTGATTCCCAGTGTGGGGCATGCAGAAGGCAGCCGATCAATTATACTCTCTCATCATTGAAGTTTTTATCTCTCTCTCCTTCTCCCTTCCTCTCTGAAATCAATAAAAATATGTTTAAAAAAAGAAAATTACTAAGAACCCCCAAGCAGCTTATGTATTATATCTGTGGATAAATAATCATATTAAAACTAAACTGAGAAACTGTTAAAATATTTACTAATTCATTTGAATAATAAAACAGCAACCAGTAGATGCTAACACAAATCACACATTTTTAATGAAAAGTAACTATATTTTCAAAACCAAAAAAACTTTAGTGAGAATAGTGCTACAATTCTTTTTGACTATCTGGTTTAGCAGCAGCCAGCTTGTGTCATATACTTTGCTTCTGCATTCAATCTGGTGTGATGTTGTTCTGGTTGAGGAATACGAAGAACAATCTGGGCTCACACAGGGATGACCTTGGGAATTTCTAAAAGGGTCTTGGGGGGCCTTTTGAGAATTACTGCTTAGAGAATGATTCCTAGACTGTCCCCATAGCCTGCTGAAGGTAACTACACAGAAGTTTTGGTTCCTTTCTTTTATATGTTCTCTTTCTTCTTTTGTACAAAGTAGAAATAGAAATAAAGAGAAAGAGCCCAGCCGGTATGGCTCAGCAGTTGAGTGTCAACCCAGGAACCAAGAGGTCACTGGTTTGGTTCCTGGTCAGGGCACGTGCTTGGGTTGCAGCTCAAACCCTAGTAGGGAGCATGCAGGAGGCAGCCAATTGATAATGTTCCTCTGTCATCAATGTTTCTATCTCTCCCTTCCTCTCTCTAAAAATCAATAAAAATATGTAAGAAAAAAAGAGAGAAAGAAAGACCTATGTAGGGCAGCACAAAGCGTACAGTGTTAAGAAATCTCTCATTTTTTTTTTTTTTGTCTCTCCTCTCCCAGGTGCTCCATAATTATACTGTTCTTTCTAGTCTAAATAAAGTAACTCCAATTTAGGCTTAAATAAGACTGTGAAATAGCCTCTCCTCCTCTTTTTACAAAAAATATTTTAAAATCAATTTTTTGAGAGAGGAAGGGAGAGGGGGGGAGAGAAACACTGATGTGAGAGCCCTCATGCACGCCCCCTACTGGGAATTGAGCTGCAACTCGGGCATGTGCCCTGACTGGGAATCATACTGCTAACCTTTCAGCACACAGGACGACACCCAACCTGATGCCCAACCGAGCCACATGGGCCAGGGCAAACAGCCTCTCTTTAAAGGAGCAGTTCTCTTCACAAACCTTAATAATGGTTGCAGATCACACCTGCTTAAATTGAATACTTTTTTTTTTTTTTAACTGGGAACAAGGAACATTTGGAACACAAAATATTTTAGAGACAATTTTAAATAAAATATAAACAGTGTTTAAAAAACATATTTTTGTTTGAAAGATACTGAAAGTAGTTTCATAATATTCTTTTTAAAGGTAAACAAAAAAGTTAAGATTTATTTACATAAAAAGATAAGATGAATGTTAACTTTTGTGAACACTGGGAACTATTAAAATACTATAGCTGAAACCTTCAATGACTTTCTAGTACTCAATAGCATCTCAGGGTCCCAAAAATTAATGTAAAAAGGCCTCAATTCTTACCATCCACAGAATGGATCCAGACAACTGTTCAAACTGATGGGACCCACTCCATCGAGATTTCACTGTGGCTAGCCCAAAGTCACCTATTTTTACAGTGAGGTCTTCATGAAGAAAAATATCTGTGGTGTAGTAAGTAAAGGAAAACAATAGATCTCATTTTCCAATCAGAGCAAGCATTATGAAATTTAGGTAAGAGATCTAATTTCTATAATTCTGTAATATGAAATTCTTTGAAAAAAGATGTAGTACTTTATATATTAATTAGGTCTATTTGGCCTGTATGACCTGCCTTTAAGGTTTTGAGGGCTTGAAATGAGGTAGAGTGAGGTGAGATGCTTTCCTAAGTGTATGGGAGACCCTGAAACTTCCCACAAGATTTTAGTAACATAGGCCCAAATATCCTTTTGGCACTGCTGGGGAGTGGTAAAGGCTCTTCACTGGAATGCAGGTGGTTGGCAGACAGGATCTTAATCTAAGTTTATGGAAGAGGAAAAAATATGTTTTTCTCACCTCATGTTATCCGTAACTTAGAGCCTTCAGTTACATCTTACCTACTGCTGAGCAAGGTCAGAGTGCTAAAAGGAACTAGTAGATAACTACAAACTACCTGTTTTCCAGTGCTGATAGAACGTAAGCAAGCAATCAAAAAGCCCTACTATCATAAAGATTTCATAGATTTTTGTTGTAATGCTCAATTGTTCACAAACCAAAAGCAGGTTGTAGTACCTTGTTCTACTACACTCTCATGCAAACCCATTTATTAATTCTCTTTACAGTACATTGAACTTAGCATGAAACTGTTTTTACATAATGTGAAGATAAAATGCAGAAGAAAAAGTCAGGATGTTTTCAAACTTCGCAGACAAATTTCAGGAAGGATACTATTACTCTTGAGGTCTCTGTGGATGATTGACTTGGCGTGTAAGTAACTGAAAAACAAAACATCATTTTAACCTGAGTAGGGCTAAATACTCTGGCCTCAAATTTTATAGAACATATTTAGGGGTATAAATAAAGATGTGTTTAGAATCATGATACAACTGCAAACTGTACAATGTGATAACCCCTTTACATAAGAAATATTAAAATAGACTGTAAATGAATTTAGGATTAGAGGAACATATCACTAATATGGTACAGCCAAAATTTTGTTTTCCACTAAAAGACTTTGCTTTGTCTTTTACTATTTACCAATACAAACCTTTCACTCCAGTCAAGCCTAGTTATCCATGTCCTTTAAATATACCTTAAATATCCCCTCCTACACCCATTCCTCAAATTAGTTTCGTTCTATTCTCCACCTATTCATACCACTCCTTTAAGATTGAATATACAATCTAACTCCTGGGTGAAGCTTTCCTATGAGTAACTCAACTGTAAGGGATCTTTCACTGTTCAGTTATATAGAAATTATTGGAGCAGCTTGATTCAATAGTTTTTTTCCACCTATGTTCATTTTCTATTTAGAATGTAAAACTCTACTAGAATATGAAAGTTTGATTGATAAATCATTCTTAAAGGTAGTATTAATATATTCTTAAAATGCCTTCTTAAAACTAATGTGTAGCAAACTTCCTCTATAGTAGCTTTAGTTAAGTTCATTGAGGGAAAAGGGCTGGGCCTAGTTTATTTCTGTTTATCCCCAGTGCCGAGTACAGTGCCTGGCATAAAGCATTTAAAACACATCAGCTGAATCAACTACATTGAGATGCATATAATGTCCTAGTCAAGGTTATTTTTTTTCATTTAAAGCTGGAGAAAACAAATATATGAGACTGCTGAAATTTGACAATGACTATTAGGAAATAAGTTCTGTTTTAAAATGAGATTATAACGTCACTGTTAAAAATAGGTTTGTAAATCATTAAGCTTATAATTTATACTTTATTTTCATCTAAGCTTCCACATCCTCTCAGAGAATAAGATTTTGATACTTTTCAGACTAAGTTTTCATTTCAAACTACTGTTTATACAAAGTAACCCCTCCTCCTCCAATTACTCTGACTTCACACTATTTCCTTCAGAGCTTTTACCACAATGTAAAATTATCTTTTCATCATGACTTTTTAGGCCCAAAGTCGTTTCACAACACAAAAGTTTACTTAGAACCCAAAGTTCTGCAGTGACACAGAAAGAAAAAAACATATGGCATCATAGCCAGTTTGGCTCAGTGAATAGAGTGTCCACCTGTGGACTGAAGGGTTGAGGGTTTGATTCTGGTCAAGGGCATGTACCTTGGCTGAGTTGGGGCGAGTGCAGGAGGCAACCAATCAATGTGCCTCTCACGTCAATGTTTCTCTCTCGATCTCTCCCCCTCCGTTCCACTTTTTCTAAAAATCAATGGAGAAAGCCCTAGCCCATTTGGCTCAGAGGATAGAGTGTTGGCCTGTGGACCAAAGGATCCTGGGTTTGATTCCGGTAAAGGGCACGCACCTTGGTTGCAGGCTCCTCCCCGGCCTGAGCCCTGGACAGGGATCCAGCAGGAGGCAACCAATTGATTTGTTTTTCTCACTTTGATGTTTCTCTCTGTCTTTCCCTCTCTCTCTTCTACTCTCTCTCTAAAAAAAAAAAAAAAAAAATCAATGCAAAAATATCCTCGGGTGAGGATTAACAAAAACAAAACAAAACAAAAATCAATGGAAAAAAATATCCTTGGGTGAGGATTAACAAAAAACAAATTAAAAAAATATGGAGAAAAATAGGTCTCAATCAAGTGCATTTTCTAGATGGGAGACCTTGTCTCCATTAGAAGAAGGGGGATAAATGAGACAGTGTGTGTGGTGGAGCTCTGTGCTTCAGAGGGCTGGTGTTTAGCCACAGAAAGGTGTTAGTGTCTGAAGAAGTTCTGTCTCCTTTGAAATTAAAACAAATGTGTGGGAGAAACCAAGATGGCAGCATAGGTAAACACCTGAAATTGCTGCCTCGCACAACCACTTCAAAAAGACAAAACAGACATCATCCAGAACCACAGGAAGGCTGGCTGAGTGGAAATTCTACAACTAGAAGGAAAGAGAAAAGCACACTGAGACTCAGAGGAGGTGCGGAAGTAAAGTGCAGAGGTACGGAGGCGCACGAGGAAAGGGCTGGCAACTGAGGTCGCGGTTGTCTTTTTCAATCGGGAGGGAGACACAAGCTCCCGACAGCCCTGACTCCAATTCTGGGTGAGTCTCTGAGGACCCAGACTCATACGGGGAGAAACTGGACTGTCTGGCAGCGGGTGGAACTCAAGGGCGGCTTTCTCTCAGGGGTGCTTGCAGCGATTACTGGGACACTGAGACACAGGGCCTCTTAGGGCAGGACTGAGGATCAGCCATAGCTGTTTGCTCCGCCCTGTTGATTCCCTGAGACCCCGCCCCACCCAAGCTGTGCGCAGAGGCTTTTGCATATGAATGACCTGGCCCTTTGCAACCTAAAATTACCTAACAAACTGCAGCTGGGTGAAAGAGACCCAGAACATCCAAAAGAAGGCCCAAGGCCCCACAGCAGCTTGCACTGCTTCACAGCTGGGCCTCATCTGGGCACCTCCAAATCCCAAAAAAAGAAGAGGAATCTGTAGATCTCTCCATAGCTCCTGCTGGGTAGCCTCAAGCAGAGGCTAAATTAGCACCTCCTTAGAGATCCAAGAGCCAGTGTACCCAGTGGTCAGAGTGGGACCGTCCAGATTACAACTCTTCAGATCCATAAGGGACACACTCAGGGGGCAGACTCAGTGAGCACCAAAGCCCCACTGAAGCAAGTCTTGCCCCAGAAGGGTGTCTCCAGCACAGAAGTTCTCCAACTGTAGACACAGCTGATTCTCACAGCCAATTGGCCTGGAGGTCAATTCCTCCCAGTGATACCAACTACAATCAAGGCTTAACTACAACAAGACTGTGCACACAGCCCACAAAGGGGTGCACCAAGAGTGTCCACTTCAGGTAACTGGGGAGGCTGAGCCACTGGGCCCTATAGGACACCTAGCACACAAAGCCACTCTATCAACACAGGAAAGCAGCCAAAATGCGGAGACAAAGAAACAGGTCACAAATGACAGAAATGGAGGAAAGCAAACTACTGGATATAGAGTTCAAAACCACGGTTATAAAGTTTTTCAAGAATTTTCTAGAAATCGCCGATAAATTTAGTAAGACCCTCAGTAAGTCTAGTGAGACCCTCAAGGATATGAAAAAGGACCAACTAGAAATTAAGCATACACTGACTGAAATAAAGAATATTATACAGAGATCCAACAGCAGACTAGAGGATCGCAAGAATCAAGTCAAAGATTTGAAGTACAAAAAAGTAAAAAATACCCAACGGGAAAAGCAAAAAGAAAAAAGCATCCAAAAATATGAAGATAGTATAAGGAGCCTCTGGGACAACTTAGGTGTACCAACATCTGAATTATGGGGGTGCCAGAAGAAGAGAGAGAGCAAGATATTGAAAACCTATTTGAAGAAATAATGACAGAAAACTTCCCCTACCTGGTGAAAGAAATAGACTTACAAGTCCAGAAGCGCAGAGAACCCCAAACAAAAGGAATCCAAAGAGGACCACACCAAGACACATCATAATTAAAATGCCAAGGGCAAAAGACAAAGAGAGGATCTTAAAAGCAGCAAGAGAAAAACAGTCAGTCACCTACAAGGGAGTACCCATACGATTGTCAGCTGATTTCTCAACAGAAACTATGCAGGCCAGAAGGGAGTGGCAAGAAATATTCAAAGTGATGAATAGCAAGAACCTACAACCAAGATTACTTTATCCAGCAAAGCTATCATTCAGAATTGAAGGTCAGATAAAGAGCTTCATAGATAAGAAAAAGCTAAAGGAGTTCATCACCACCAAACCAGTATTATAATGAAATGCTGAAAGGTATTCTTTAAGAAGAGGAAGAAGAAGAAAAAGGTAAAGATAAAAATTATGAACAACAAATACATATCTATCAACAAGTGAATCTAAAAATCAAGTGAATAAAAAATCTGATGAACAGAATAAACTGGTGAATATAATAGAATCAGGGGCATAGAAAGGGAGTGGACTGACAATTCTCGGGGGGAAAGGAGTGTGGGGGTGTTGGAAGAGACTGGACAAAAATCGTACACCTATGGATGAGGACAGTGGGGGGCGGGTAAGGGCAGAGGGTGGAGTGGGAACCGGGTGGAAGGGAGCTATGGGGGGAAAAAAGAGGAACAACTGTAATAATCTGAACAATAAAGATTTAAAAACAAACAAACAAAAAATGTGTGGTTCATGGGTGGAAAACATGGTGGCATGATGAAGGTACAAGGGAAGATAAAGGTGTTCTTGATGGATGGTGTCAATCTTTTCAACAGATCTGATACAAAGAAGTATAGTGAGAATACAGTAGATAGAAATATAACTAGAGAGCTGAGAGAAAATTTCTGATCATGAAAATACTTGATAATTAAGATATAAATATGATTGCTGAGCTAGCAATATAGCCCTAGTAGAAATTGTTTAGCATAAACCTATTATAGGTCAAAGTTGCATATAGCTGCAACTTGAAATAACATTACCTCATTGAACCTGGGACCTTTCAGTCCGCAGGCCGACTCTCTATCCACTGAGCCAAACCGGTTAGGGCATGATAGGTTTCTCTTAGGAGTCACCTTCCTTGAAGAAATATAATGTGTAATCTTTTATTGTTTAAAATCTGCTTTTCTAACTTTTATCTCATTTAATAAATCTCTTTCTGTAACATCTCTATAACAAAAGCAGCAAAAGAACAGAAATCCAGGTCTATATAATAATGGAAGATTGGAAAGGGACTCAAATTCTCCAGCCGAAAAAATGGGATGAATAGCATATCCCAATTCCCACATAATATAATGTTCCAGAGTAATTACTACAGACTGACACTAGAACACAACTTCCTAAGCACCTACCAGTCATAAAAAAGATAACACATAACTGGTTGAGGGTAGAA